GACTACTGGCATCCAGAATCGTGAGAAGTAAACCTCTGTTCTTTTTTTTTTTTTGGTTTTTCTCCGGTACCAGGAACCGAACTCACGACCTTGCGCTTGCCAGGCAGGCGCTTTGCCGCTGAGCTAAATCCCCAGCCCCAAACCTCTGTTCTTTATACATTCCCCAGTGTGTGGTTCTAGTACAGTAGCACAAACCAGAGTAAGACAGGGACCTTCCTACTTGGGTCCTGTTAGCTCAGTTTCTTCTGTCACTACATGTAAGCTCCCATTACACTCTCAGCACATCGTGGGCTCTTAGTGCTTGTTTCTCTCCTTTCCAGTGAGACAGAAGTGATTCTCTGAAATGCTACACTTCTGAGAGAAAAATATCACCCAATTCTTTTTTTATCTTGTCAGGATACTCCTGGTACAAGCAGAAAATGGTAGCAGAGAGAGAGTTGGCCCATCTTCAAAACAATCCTGGAAATCTTGATAGAGACCTACTGGGCATCAGAAATGATGCAAGATAGTATGGAAATGCAGTGAAAAATTAAACATGGCTCTTGCTTATCCAGCCTCTGATAATCCAGTTGGAGAGGAAAGCTATGATCACGGAAGAAGTATACAATAAAGGATTTATGTAACAGCCTAAGGCCAACAATAGAATTGCTGTTGGGGGGCATATCGGGAATAAATGACTTATTGCCTAATAAATCCAGGGTCAGCTGGAACTGGACAGAAGAAGGGGAGGCCACTTTAGGCTGGGTGGTGTGAAGGAGGGAGGCAGGGGCCGACCAGAAGTACCGAGTCCCAGACGAGCTGGAGTTACCGCCGGGAACTGCATACTCATTTGGCAGGAGCAAGCAAAGTTCTGGGTACGTGGAACCGGAGAAGGGTGGAGCTCCATATGGAGGGCCTCAAACCTCAAACCAGGGAGATTTCATCCTGCAGGAAATGGGCAATGAGGAAGCTTTTTCAGCAAAGTGGAGGTGTGAACCGAAAAGTGATTCTGCAGCTCCTCCTAGTCTCTGCAGCCCGTCTGAAGTCTGTCCTGCTCCTAGGCGTCCCAGGGCCTTCAGGATTTCTTGCCCAGCATCTTTTTGTGCCAACGCTCAAGAAAAAGTGGTTCAGCTTGAAAGATCGATTGTGGTCTTAAACAAGTAGCTTGCTTGTTTTCACTATCACACGCATTCAACATGGAACTTCCTGAAGAGACTAGTAGCTTCAGAGAGCTGCCTTCCAGCCTTTAGGACATTGATTCAATGAGTCAGCACAGAGGGTTTTGTAACAGACTCACAGAACCAGACCAGCTTGCTTTTCCTAGGTGTCCTAAGAGAGAGACCTAGGTGTCGTAAGAAAATCTCAGCTGGCGCCCCTTCTCCTCTGTACTGCGATTTCTTCTCTGTTCTGGAGCATAGCTGAGCGTACGTTCAGGAAACAGCACTGGGGAGTCCAAAGAGGGGTCAGAAATCAAGTCAGATTTCAGTGACAGCTCTGGCTCTGCCTTTAACCAGTGTGTGACTTTCTGTGTTACCTAACCTCTGCTAATTAAAGTTTCCTCATCTGTGAAACAATCACTACTTTGTTGGGTGGTTATGAGTTTTTATTTTTTGTTGGATTGCGGGTTGAACTGTGGACCGTGTGTCTGCTGGTCAAGTGCTCTACCACAGAGCTGTATCCCCAGCTAGGTTACAAGTATTAAATGAGGCAAGTGTGCAGTAGCATACAGTAAGTAGGTATGCTATATATTTTTTCTATTGTAAAGTGTATAATACTTCCACAAAGAATTCTTGGTGTCTCTTTTTTACCCTAAGGGAAAAAATAATTGGGTTCCTCCCTTTCCAGTGATACCTGTGCTTTGGTTGCCCTGGCATCTGATCTGAGTCCTGCAAGTGGCTGCGCCCCCCTGTGCAGTGCACTTGCCCGACAAGGGCTCAGGAGAAAATTCTGTTGCCTGAAAAGTGGGCAAACCAAAGGGCCATCCTCACTTTGCCAGGTTTCTTCCTATAGGAACAAACTGAAGGCCACGATGGGAAATGCAGGCAGAAAGCAAGAAAACATCCAGAGGACCTCTGAATATAAGTCTGTTTCTAAACACCTTTCTACTTGTTTATCTACTTGTTTTTATTTAACAAACCACATTATAATACTTGCTACGTGTAAGGGACAGTCCAAGAGAGTTTACATAGTAACTCATTTAGCCTTCATGAGAACATCATGAAGACAGCTTTCCAGCTTGAGAAACTGAGTCATAAAGAAGTTATGCATCTTGTTGAAAGCCACAGAGACATGCGAGGCACTGCAGTGAGCTCAGGCACTGTAGTGAGGATGGAAAATTATTACGCAAAAATTAATGGAGAAGAGAGCCCATCTAAAATGCTTTCCTTTGATGAAGGGTTCAGATATTATGGGGGATTTAGACCTGGGTGAATCAGCAACATTGCTGTCCCTCACGTGAGCAGATGAGATGCATAGGCCCCGCTTCCCACGTCACCTTCCACAGCCACCTTAGGATCCCCTTAGGATGGTTCAGGCGAGGCCACACTTCTTTCCTTCATTTCTTTCTTTTGAAAGAGACTTACAGAAGCTCCATCATGTGACAGGTGCAGGGACGGATGTCAGGGACACCAAGGTCATTATAGAAAAATTTGGGGTGGACAAACTCCTAGTTTAGTGGAAAAAGGAGAAATGAACTCACAGTCACACATACACTGGAAAAGGATTCTCACAGTCACACATACACTGGAAAAGGATTCAGCAAAGGTATCTCCACCTTCCTTTACAAAAGCAAGCTTTACCCTCTTTCAACTCTAAATGGAAGCCAGCACATTTATTTACACAGAAGCAATTGCCAAGAACTGTCTACTCACCAAGCCTGGTGCCATCCTATGCCACATCTCCCTCTTGTTTCACCCTGCTCTTTAGACTTCTTTCTTTCCTTTTCTTTTTTTCCTGCCCTATCTATTTTCTTTTCTCTTAACCACCTACAGATCTCTCCAGGGCGTCTCCCAGGCACTTGTTGTCCGAGGCCATGTGTTCTGGGAAAGAAACCCTGACCCAGATTTGCCCAGCACACATGTTCTTTTGCCTTGTGACGCTGGCATTTCCTGTCTCTGTGACCTAAGCAGTGAACTAAACATCCCAGGACAGTTGCTCATTCCAATGCAGTTTGGCTGGGGATGATAAGATCAGGAACATTTGAGAAAGAGAGAGAGGTCAGGTAGGTACCAGAGGTCCGGGACAGCAAAAGCTGAGGACAAAGAGCTGAGTGCTCCCTGCTGCCTTCTCAACACCAAGATGCATCAGACCCTCTCGTAACAGAGCCCAGCTGGTGCTCCTGGGAGAGGACCGCAGCCAGCGGGGTGGAGGAATCCGAGAGAAGGGGCTCAAAAGGGTGAGAGTGATCAAGATGAACAGATGTCTTCCTACTAAGACTGCTTGCTACCAAGAACAAGTCAGTGATTCAGACAGTATCTTTAAGACCTCTATCGACAGAACTATCTTGCTTCATTTCTGTTAGCTGCATTCGCCAGTCCCACCTTCCCCCAAAAGAGATGTAAAATACTGTCATTTTTCTGAATCCAGCTACTTCTAGGTCTGGCAGTGATGTTTCATGTTTTTCACTCATTCAAAGGCAGAGATACAAGAGGGTCCCCTCTGCGTTTTGATGCTCTGCCCTCGCCGCAGAGCAGGGTCTGTGTCTCCTTTTGTCTCCTTGCCTGCCTGTTTCATCCGTTTGTCTCCAGAGACCTGTGGATGGGTGCTTTAGAGGAGGGACAGACATGCTTTCAGAAACCTGGAATCTGAGGAGGAGACACATCTAAATACAACACACAGAAGAGTACGCATTAGTATGTGCACTGACTTTTCTCTTGATTTTCAAAGTGATATGGTACTACAAAAACATGCCTCCTACATCTGCTACTTTTCCCTTCCTCTATGAACTCCATAAGGTCAAGATGATCCCTTAAGGAAAGAGGTTTGGGGGCAGGCCAGAAGATAGAGACAGACTTCATTATCAGGATAGACACCTCCAACCCTAAGATTTTACCCTGGGGTCAGACCAGGCCTGGCTGCATGCTCCGCCTGAGGACTCAGGGAGACATAGCTGGGATGACGGCAGCAGAGGCAATGTTTACTTCTCCAGGATTCCTCTGCACGATTTACTGCCCCGTCTTCAACAGCATAACCCAGAGCAGGCCAAAAGCCACGGCACACTCATCCCTTTCGGAATTGAAGGCTTTAGGAAAAAAGTTGGCAAACAGAAGTAGTGGCACACAGAGTCCGCAACAGGTTGGGGGACAGGCAGTCATGGTACTCGGCACATGGTTTTTGAAGCAAACGATAAGTTAGGAGTATTTGGGATAGACTCTCCCCTTTCCAACCAGGCCTAGCACCACTTCCAAAGTCATCCCAGGTGGAAAGGATAGTAGAAGCCTCTCTACAGCTGAGTCCAGAGCATGCATCGTGAAACCCCTTCCTAACTTAACCAAGGGATTGATTTCATTTGGGGATGCTCAGGAAAGGCCGAAGAATGTGTGCTCCACCTGAGTCCTGAAGGGTCAATCAAATGGGGAGTGAAATTCTAGGTGGAAGGAGGATGGAGATGCGGGAGAGCTGGGACGGGGGGGTCTACGAGCAGACAGAGTGAGAGGCCAGGAAGAGCTGCCAGGTTGACAGCTTGCAGGTTCCATGTTGACAAGCAGAGGCTGCGGTGGCACCTGGACGGGTGGAGCTGAAGCCTGGCCCTGGGACCCCAGTGGTCAGGAGGCGCGGGGGTCTCCAGTGTTGCTTCTTCCCACTAGTGGAAGTGTTTCCAGCAGAGGCTGCTGCACACAGAGGCGACAGGAACACCCGTTACAAATGGAAGCTTGACAGAAGATGTGCTTGGAGCCCTGGGGAACTCGAGACGACTCTGATGCCCTCGTGTTTTTGCTTCGGAAAGCAGTGCTCAGTCTTTCTAAGGTCCCTCCTCCCCAGCCCAAGACTACAGTTTCGGAAGAGACTAAAGGAGTCGATCCTTTGCCTTAGGAGTCGATCTCTTTTATTAAGGCACCACTTAGCATACAAACAACACATGCAGAGACGACAAACCCACGCGTGGAATAAATTATGAAATCTTCATTTGAAAGTAGACAGAAGCAGCTGTGCTACCAGGGGCCCCTCTTGGTTCAGCATCTGGAGGGTCACAGGGTGTTAGCAGACTTGAGAGTCTGATAAATCTGTGAAAAACTGAGTGCCAGATGCCCCTCTTCCAGGCCCAAATTCCTTCGCAAACCCCCATGCGCACCCGCAGATGCACGCACAGGCTGCGGGGAGGAGGGTGAACGACAAGCTCAGCAATAGGCTACATGAGCCCAGCTTGCTCTCCCCGTGCCTTCGGTCAGAGACGAGTGCCAACATCCTTACTAACTCCCCGGATCCCTGTAAGCGTGGGGAGCAAGTGGGGACCAGGAGCCCAGTTTTGTCAGCCGGGCTGTGGGGTGAGCACCTCACGGCTGTCTCACACCACCCTTGCTTTACCGTCCACCTGCTGAGCCTCCCCTGCCACTCTGGAAGACTGAGGAGATCCGCACCCCCTCCCCCGCAATTCACCAGCCGGGAGTCCCAGGAGCTGTGTGCCAACTCCCATCCGGCAGTGTGACACTGGGGAAATGACCTTCGTCACTAAGCCTCAGACTCCCCTCCGTAAAAATGAGTGTCTACTTCACAGGGTTACCCTAAGAATTACTGACTTGGGATCTTGCCAAGTACAGAGCCAGCTCAAGTGAAATGTTCACAACCTGCTTTCTTCCTGGCCTTCTCACCACTCCTTTTCCCTATTTCCCCATTTTGTCTCCAGGTTTGTGTATGTCATTGGTGGTCATGTGACCCTGGTGGCACCGAAAGCACCTTGTGACCAGCAGGTTCTTCCTACCCCAACAGAGACTGCTGGTGTGTGCTTCTCCCAGCACAACACTGCACCACTGGCAGACCCCAGGGGTGGCCCCACAGGCAGGAGACAGTTTGAGTGGGCACAGGAGATCTGACCACCTCGGGGACAGTGGCAAGATGCCAAGAGGGGGGCACATAGGAAGACTAGTGAGGTGGGTGGGAGAGGGGGGCTGGCCAAAAGCCAGAACACAGGCACGACACTGCTTACAACTTTAGTAGAAAGAAGATCACCCCTGCCAGAAGTGAAACATCAAGCATGTAATAGACTTATGTTCTTGGTAGGTCTGCCCACCAAAAGGCTGGCTTCACGGGTCACAGCTACAATTTAGGCCCCACAGAAACCTCCCGTGCACCTCTCCATCTTTCTGTCCATCCAGCCACCCACTGGTATACGTTAAGAGTCTTAAAGGATGCAGCCTGACCTAGAAAGAAAACTTTGTGCTCATTTAGCACCTTTTACTCAAGGAGTATATTTTATAGTCACTCTGCTGGAGTCACTGACTGAAATGCTATGAGGTAGCAAGACAAGCAATACCCCTCTTTTTAGAACTTGAGAAGTGGTCAGAGTTACAGTGAGTACAGCTGAAACTCAGTCAGGGCTGCTCAAGTGCAGGACCCTGTGTGCTCCCCAGTGACCAGGTCCTTGCTCTCTTTTGGAAGGCCTTGCTTCAGCTCAACCCGGACTACCTCTTCGGCAAGACCAATTCTGCTGCTTTTCACACCAGCGTGGGTCTCAAGTCATCTTTGAAGTTCACGATGGGGTTGGAGCGGGCCCAGAGCTTCTCCCAGGAGGCCAGTCCCACAGCAGGTTCAGGGTCCGTGTCTGATGTGCCACTGTCACTAGAGTCAGAGGAACTCTGGAAGCAGATTTCACAGTAGGGTCTGTGGCAGTGGCAGAAGAACTCGTCTGAGCTGCTGGACTCAGTGTCAAGGTAGTTACCCTGAGAAGACAGGGACGGGCAGCCGGGGGACCCCGGGAGCTGAAACTGCTGCTGCTCGGGCAGGTCCGACGAGGTCGGTAGGCAGGGGGCAGTGGGCCTCTGTGCCCAGGCAGAGGCTGAAGGCTGGTGAGGAAAGGCTGCATTGCCCGCCCCGGCCCTCTGGGGCTCTGCTTGGCCTTGTCTGCTGCCCGCTGCGGTGCCCAGTCTCCCTCGAGGACCTGGGAGAAGTGAAGGCTTCCTGGAAGAGGGCCTTGGTACCTTAGAATCAGTGGCTTGGTGATCTGGCCCGGGGCTGTCCCCACTGGGCACATTCAGCCCACTGTGTGTCCCAGAAACAGTCTGATCTGTCCGGTGCCCCACATAGGAGGACACAGAGCCAGGAAAGTGTGAGCGAGCCCGCTGAGCTGCCCGCCTCCTCCTTACCACGTATGGGCTGAAGCCCAGCTCCCTGGAGACGGGCATCTTCTGTGGGCTGCGGGCAGCACTGTCCTTCCAGGGCTGCTGGGGACGAGTCAGGGAGTTGGGGAGGGGAGCCCGAGGGCCCAGGCCCAGCTCTTGTATGACTTCCTGAAGCTTTTCCCTGACCAGCGAACTGACCCTAGGGAGCTTCTCCCACGGCTCCTCAGAGCTCTGCTTCTGTCTCTGGGGATCAGAGGCCTCTCTGCCTGGGACGAGACCCTGGCTGGGAGCTGTGGGTCCTTGGTCTCTTTCTAAACCCTGGATCTGCTCAGCCTGTGGCTTCTGGCTATGATCCGGGTCTAAGTGATCAGAGAAGTCTTTTGAGTCACGTATCTTCTTCTGGCCTGGGGAGGAGCTGGCATTCCTCCCAGGGACCCAGGGGCTTTGCATTCGTGAGGAGGGCACTGAAGTACAATGGGAGTCCTGGGCAGCTGTGTTGGGATCATTCTGAGGAGCAGAGGGGCATCCTGAGGGTCCTTGTGCCGGGCCATGGGCGGAGGCTGCAGCTGGGACATCCTTGCCCTGGGAAGAGGTGGGTGGGGCCACCCACTCTGGGGAGTCACAAGCACACTCAGCAGACATCAGCCTCACTAGCTTCTCTTTGGCATTGTTCACTTGCTCCTGCAGGCTTTCAATCACAGCATTTTTCTGTAAAATAAAAGCAAATCCATCAACAAACAATGCTGAGAGTTCCATATTGCCTCCCATGGTGGTGAAGTGTGGTACTGGAAGGCGCTGGTTTCAATCCCAGTTCTTCCCGGTGTGCTGGTGACCTCTGGCCCTGAGGCAGCAGCTCCACCAGGTGAAAGGAGTTGGTGAACACAAAGCACCCAGCTAAGTGACATGTGGAGCCTAATAAAGGCTCCTACAACTGATGGTGGCTATGGTCTACACTTCCCCCTTCCATCTCACTGCAGGAGAGAGCAGGCCGCACCTAGCCACCTGCTGGAGGCTACAGCACCCTGTCACCACCCCTAGAGCTGACAGGGTCAGGTCACTCTGCAAGACAACAGCCTGCACAGTGTTTGGGATGGTCGAACTCTGGGGTGCTCACACTTTTGCAAACTGCAGAAGAATCTGAAGCCCATCTCCAGGGGACAAACGGGGAAACATGTTTTTCTTCTTGCTACACAGTCTAGAAAATGGCAAAACAGGGAGAAGGGTGGAGATTCCTGAGCCAAGCAAATCAGACTGGAGCCAGAAGGGGCCAAAGAGCATCGTGGGCTTGTGTCATCACCTCCCTCGGCTGGGCCTCGGAGGGTGAGAGGCCAAAGCCACCATCTGGCAATATCAGCTGTCAATGTCTCCTAATGAAGCATGTGCATTAGAATTACTGTAGGAACTAAGGCAGACAAACAGAAAATATTACAGGGTCTTCATCCCTGATAGCTTAAATCAATCGCCGTAGAATGGTGCCCAGGAGAGGAATGAGGTTGGAGCAGTTCTGCAGCTGACCTGCCCAGCTGCTGCACAGATGTTACTGGATAAACAGACCGTGCCCAGGACAGCTGGCAAGCGACAGCTGCAGAGGTGTGCCCACCATAACTGCGAGGCTGTGGGGCAGGAAGAGGGAACAGGAGTATCGACAGTGGGCGTGTGAGGCATGACTGCGCCCGGGGTGTCTTTCTGTGGTGGGGCAGTGGGTCATACACCTGAGACTCTATGCCCCTCTCTGGAAAGTCCTGATGCTCAAAGGCAGAGGAGCAGGTCTGAGGTCTTCCTGGGGAACAGATGGTCTTGAGGCAGATGACACAGGGTCACGAGATTGGGGAAAGACACTAGCTCAAGCACTGTGTTCTAGGAAGGGCTTCTCTGGTACCAAAAAGTTGCCTTTTTTGTTGCCTAAGAGGCTAAGGATGGGCGTGCGGACAGCCGTTTACCAGGCCCTAGAAACCAAAGGATAACTAATACAAGTTGCCCGCATTGTGGTTACGTCTCAGGTTCACACAGAAGCGTTGCCCAGAAATGATCCTCTAAGGGGGCAGTAACTGACCAATAGTTAGGCAGTGACGCCCAGGCAGAACCACTGCTCCCGTGGGTAAGCAGGAAGGAGAAGCTTCTGCTAGGTTACATACTCTGCCTTTCACTCTGGTCTATTCTACTTCTTTACCATCCAGAGAGCAGCCAGGAGCAGTGAGGGGCTGGTGACCCAAGTGGCAGGGGCTTCCAGCTGAGCACCTGCCTGCCCATCTCCCTTGCCCTGCCTGCGGAGCAGTAAGGCCTGGGCATTTCCCAGCAAGGAGAGATAACGACAGGCTCACCAGGAGCAGAGTGGCTGAGTAACAGGGAAACACAGAGGCTCTTGCTGGTGTCTGGGAGGTGCTGGCTCTCTCCCTCTCCCTAGAGCATCTCACAGGGTGGCGGCGGCGGTGGTGTGATGGGACCTGAGCGCTTCCCTTCCCCCACGAGCCCCTCCCCCTGATGCCTACCATGCTTCAGACCTCGCCTGGTCAGGAAAAAGCCACCATCTGATCACAACGCTCCCTCTCCCTTGGGTGACATCTGGGTGATGCCCTTTTATGCCTTCCCCACAAGTTCCTTTGAGTGCTGGAAAGCAGAATAAGCCTTGTGCTGGGAAGAATACTCTTCTCCCAGCAAACCAAACATCTGAAGCTGCCTGTGGCCAGATTTAGAAAGATTAATGTAAACAGTAAATTTCCCTTTTCCAGAAAAGGAAGCGGGACTCTGTTTTCACTATGGCTGATACTAATTAGAGGAGTGGTACGAGGCACCGCCACGGTGAGACCAAAACGGAGCTTCCACGGCTGCTGTAGGAAACGAGCTTTGTAATGGTTACTCTTGGCACCTGGGGGCAAGCTGAGGCCCACAGGTGTGTTTCAGAGGGTGCAGGGCCTCAGGAGAAGTGCAGCCAGCTTCTCGGTTCCCTGGTGCCAGGAAAAGAGTCGCAGGCCAGCCAGGAACAGACGGTGCCCCTCACAGCTTCCGGGGGACTCCTGTCCAAGAAGGCAAGAGGGCCAAGAGAAAGAAGATGCCCTGCCCAGGGAACAGGAACGAGGAAGGTGCTGGGTGCCAGAGGGGCCTGTAGAGAAGGGAGAGGTAAACCAGCAGGCCGGTCAGGACTCCTGCACTACTGTGGCGGAAGAGGGCACAGACCCTGGGCTCTCCCTCACCTCCACAGGGCCCGGGCCTGGCTGCTGCTCTCAGGCCTGGTCTGGGAAAACGGTTCCAGGTGTCACAGGTGCTGGGAGGCAGCCTTTTGCCACCTCCACCTCCGCATCACTGGGGCGTCCTCTCAGGCTGAAGGCACCTGTGTGGACAGAGCAGACTCTGCCCCTGCGTGGGAAACAGGAGTGTGGCGGGAGGGCACACGTCAGGTTACCATCAGGCGAAGGACTCCGTCCGCCTGGCTGTTCCGGTATGAGCCGACTGTAGCTAAAAACCACCAGGCTGTTCCCGCCAAGTCTCTGGCCTTCTGCATAGCTGGGGGTAAAATGCTTCTCTGAAGTCTTTATAGAGCATCAAAGGTAAGGCTGCCCTCTTGCCAGGTGGGGAGAAGGCTGGCTTTGAAATGGTGCCCTGAGTGTTTAGTTGACAGTAAAGAAACAGAGAGGAAGTACTCGGGTGGACAAAAAAAGGTCCACAGCCAACGTCTGGGGAGAGACCAGAGGGCAGGGTCCACGGGTACCTGGCAGGCTCAGCTCCTTGGCGGTGGCCCTTAGGTGTCCCCTTAACCTCATCTTAGGAGGACGAATCCCACCCAGTGGGATAGTCCTGCTACCAAAATGTTCAGTTTTCAAAGAGTACCTACTTAGGTATGATCTGTACTGAACAAAACCCGAACACGATTTAGTTGTGTCAAAATACTGACTAATATCCGGGGCCCTGTGCCTTCCTCCTGAGGACGCGGCCCTCAGGCTTGCCCTCGTGTCGCCTGGAGCCCGCACTCTACTGCGTGGGACCGAGGCCAGCTCTGGCTCAAGGACAGCAGGAGGAAGGGCTGGGCTGCCTGGGGCTCCTGGTGCCGTAACATCCAGTTCCCGTCCCCACCTGCAGACATGTCTGGACTTTTTGGGTTGCTGGCTGACTGAGGTCTCCTGTCAGTACCTGGCGAAGACAGGAGGGCCCCATAGGATCTTGAACTTGAGGGCACTGCTCTTTGTAAGGAATGGATGCGTCACACAGAGGCTGGCCTCTAGTGCAACTCAGCCTTCCAGTGCTGTTCCCTCTGCTAGGACGGCTTTTCTCCATGCCCAGTCAGCTCTTACTTAATCTTTAACTCTTGTCCCTGGAGTTCTCTCACTGCTGTGACTGGTTCCCTGCTTCCCTCACACCTTCTCTTCTCCCCACCCTCATTTTTTTCACGCTAATTCTTGCCACAGTTATGATTATGTTTCCCAGCCAGTACGAGTCTCTGCGGTGGACCTGGGGGCCCCGCTGCTCACTGAATGAGTGAAGTGGGTCGGGTCAGTGGGGAGGTGCAGCCTTGCTTGCTCTCTGGGAAGGTGGGAGAACTCGGGAGACCAGGAGGAGAAGAGAATGCTGGCAGTGAGAGCAGTGAGGATGACCACTTATGCTTGCAGCTCTTTCCAGGGACCCCGGGCCGGGCAGTGTAGCTCACCTCTGTGAGCAGCCTCTCCATGGAGCTCTTCTCGCTCTGAGGGTGGCAGCTCTGCTCCTCACCACATTGCGGATGGAAGCTTTTGCTGGGAGTGCTGAAATACTTGGCCATGTGTCTGACTGTTTGGTTTTCCCCTTCAAATGCCTTCCATTGCTTCAGCTGTTAGAAAAGAAGAACACATGGTATTTATTTCATTACACACCCAGAAATACATTCCCTCCCTCTTTCTCATGAACACCCAGGAATGGCACTGTCCCGGATGCACACGTGCTCAGCTCGTCTCTCCTCCAAATGCACTTTGCTCTGCGGGGCTTGGGGCCAGTAACGACAGAAAGTACACAGAATGGTAAGGTTCTGTAGCTTTAAAAATTTCCAGGGAAGCAGTGATAGGTAGACAGGAACCTAGCACAGACAGGTGGATGGAACAGCCCTCTCTGCCACTGCCAAACTGGATAAAAGAAACCAGAATGAGGTATAATTCCAGAGCCAGAGTTTTGGAGCGGTCACTAGGGGCAAGATTTTAAACACCGTATGTTTCCAATGAAAGAAACCCTTTCTAGTCAGACACGGCTCTTCTCAATGACGCTGCACTGCTGAGTTGCAATGTGCCTCTTGCTATGGAGGACCTGGTTCCTTGTTGGTGGCTTCAAACCCAAATCCACACTCAAGGCTCAGACAGAGGCCATGGATTTCGAACATGTGACCATATTTTGTTTCTCTGACAAATGAGCAAAGACTCGGGCAGAAGGAGTGTGACTCGCCCAAGCCCACCCAGAGAGCCGGCAGCAGACGCACAGCTGTAACCAGGAGCTGGGCCACACACGTGATGGAGACACAGCCTGTGAGCAGCGGGGGTCCTGGGCCCAGCTCCCCAGCAGAAACTGGCCTCAAGACAATCTGTGGAGGTACAGGCAGGTTCCCCTGAACCAGGATGGAGCTGGCATACACAGGTCTGCTCCCGGGCCTCTGGGACATGATATCCACTTGGTGCATACCTGTGATGTGGGTGATGGGGACTACAGTGGTGATGGCTTCTCTTTCCCTCACAAGTCCCCGAAACTAAGTGCCCAGTGAGGGATGCTGGGGACTCCGGCATGTCAGGGAAACAACGCTGAGGGGTCTGTGGGTGGCATCGCAGGAAACCTTGAAACTCCTCGCTCACTCATCAAACGTTCACGAAATTCAGATCCCGTCGCAGATCCAGCCCTCTCTCACCCGAGGCGTCTGGGGTCCTCTGTTGGCTGAGCACGCCTCCTCACGGTGTCAGGGGTCCGCAGGGCCTGTGCTAGGCCAGGCAAGGCCCTCTCCCCACAGAGGGCCTCGGCAGAGGGAGCAAGCCTCCCGGGGTCACTCTACACACAGCCCCTGGCGATGCTCCAGGGCTCCCGATCCCCTCAGAGTCCCCTTTCCCTAGTGGCACAGCTCTCTCCTCCTGTCCCCAGCACTAGCCAGCCTGAGCCCTCTCTGCAGGGTGTTGGAGGGACAGCTTGATGCGGCTACGGGCACCTCTGGGGCTTCCGGTCACCTCTCCCTAGGCTGGGTGGATGGAGCCCAGGCTGCCCTCACCCGTCCCTAACGCCTCGTCTGTGCAGACCGGCCCCATCAGGCTTCCTGAAGTAGTGGTAAACGGTCCTCAGGTCACAAGCACTTCTTCCTCCACGAGGACAGACTCGTGCTCGTCTTCTGAGTCTTGGCGTTGTGTGGCTCACGCCCCTGTGAAACCCTGGAGCATGCGAACATCAACCTGCCACAGCAGAAGGAACCCTGCACCCGTGACTGAGGAGCTGGGGGATCTGGGGAAGAGGAGATGACCCTACGTCATCATGAGTCTTACGAGAGGGAGGCGGGAGTCAGAAGAGATGTGAGGATGGGCAAGAGAGGGACAGAGAAGGAGAGACTGATGGAGATTTGTAGACACCACGCTGCTGGCTCAGAAGGGGAGGAAGGGACAGCGGACCAAGGAATGCAGGTGTCCTCTACGGGCTGGGGAAAGGAAACACATTTCCCCTGGTCTCCAGAGAGAAAACAGACCCACCAACGTCTGGCTTTAGCCAACTAAGGTTCCCTCCTGATCCCTACCATCTGATATTGTGCAAACGGTGTTGTTTGAAGCCACCAAGCTTGTGGTCATTTGCTGCAGTAACAGGAAGCTTCTCCAGTGGGGTGAAGGTCAGGTCGTTAACAGGCCACACCCGGGCCTGCTCGGGTCCATCGCCACCTCCACTCAGCCTCCCCGACACCGCAGCCACTCTCAGCTCTGTCCAGGCTCACGGCAGGGTCCCACCTGAGACGCCTCAGTGACCTTCGAGACGGACCTCAGCTGTCCATTTGCTGGGAAGGCGCCACTCTCCAGGGAGCTGGGGCTGTGTGCCACCCCCACCGAAGCGCCTCGCCCAGGCTTTCCTGCCTTTCCCGCCTGCTCCCCGACTGCCCGTGCCCAGCCGCTGAGATGGGCAGAGGCACAGCTGAGTCCACAAAGGAAGCTCTCCTAGGAGAAGCGCCGCAGGCTCTTAGGGCTGCCGGGACGCAGACCGACATCTAGAAAGCAGAACAGAAAGCCCCTCGCAAGTGTCCTCCCCACGGAGGAGCAGAAGAAACACTCGGGCAGCCAGGAGGAACGCAGGTCCTGCCTCTCAGAGGGGCGTGGGTCACACTGACGTCACAAAGGCAGAGGCGGCCTGATTGCTGGTGATGACCTCAGCGCTTGGCATAAACACTTAGGCATTTCCTGAGAAGGCACGGAAGGCTCCTTGGTCCTCGGCCTCATTGTCTTCATTGCGTCCAGCTCTCTGGCGCCCCCTAGAGGCTGTTTGGGGCCTTCGCTTTCACCAAGCCCCCTCAGCCGAGTCTGAAAGTTCAGAGGCCAGAGAAACCGATCTTGCTCTGCCTGTAGCTCTCCTCACCCTCGTTTCCAAGTTTACTCAGCTTTGTGACTGTCCTGGGGATACAAGTCTCACAGAGTAGTTCTCCTGAAGACCTCTGAGCCAGAGAGGAAAATCAATGTAGGGACAAACCTCAATAATTATTATATTTTGAAAAAGAATTGCACTCTGGGAGGCTGAGGCAGGAGGATTGCAAGTCTGATCCCAGCCTGGGCAACTTAGTGAAACCTGTCTCAAAATAAAAAACAGTTTAAAAAAATAGCTAGGCATGTAGCTCAGTGTGAAGACCCTGGATTCAATCCCCAGTACCACCACGAGCAAGAAAAACAAATTTAACTTCCTAGTAAAATACAATAGATTATAAAATATACTTTCTCTTTCTACATCGTGAGAAAAAGCATAAGAGAAGATATAAAAGGAGAGCTAGGGCGGGGGATGTAGTGCAACATGTGATACATGGAGGGATAGCAGCCATTTTGTGACCTTGCACAGTGCAAGGTCCTGAGTTCGATT